ACGGATTTAGGAAAATTAATACTTAAAGGAAAAAAACAAGGAGCATATTTAAGAGAATATGGAAACGCATAGGAAAACGATCAAAATTTTACAAATATGTAGGCAAAACAACCGGACAGGATTGCCTGGCAAAACACCTTCACAGATAGAGAGTATACATTCAATCCACATGTCCCCCTATATAACCTACAGGAGGAAATGGAGAAGACCCACCTGATTCGGTGTCCAGCCCTAAAGACAACGATGGAAACCCAGAGATACTGGGAAGCAAGACAGTTAATGAACTGCTATATATGTACCTCCCACCCATGGGGGAAGCTGAAGTCAAAGTTTAAGCGCTAATGATAAATATCATAAAGCCTGCCATTCTAAAAAAAACATATTATGAAGTAAACATCACAAACTCACTCAAATAGATATGTTTCCAGTTCTTCTGGAGTGAAGATGTCATCGAGTTCCTTTGATATTGATATGAGATTGCCAATCATTTCCTTGTTTTTATAAACCAGGATTGCAGGAACTCCATTCAAAACCTATCGAATGCCAAAATAATGCAAGTCAATAGATGAGTGCAATGGGCCAAAATTTGAGCATAGTTAATTCCGTCCCTGTCAGCCATGACTCAACTAAATTTGTGATGTCAAAAGGAAATTAAATTAGAGAGCCGAAAATATGATAAAAGCGATTAAACAGTGTGGCTAAGTAGCAATCAAAAGAAAAGCCAAAATATCCCCTCCATCATCCCAAAACCAAAGAGCATAAGGCTTTATTATGAACTTCAATGTTTATAGGCTATATATATATAAATGAACCATTTGTAATGTTTAAAAATAATGAAATAAAGGCAACTTGCAAAATTCCTGCTCAAAAACGAGGTCGAGGCACGAATTCGACAGAATTTATAATGAGGATATGCTCGAAAGAGATATTGAAAGGCTTCATTGGCCGATTTGCAAGCTATGTTTCCCTAAGAGGAAAAGTTTTAGGAAATTGAAAAGAAAAATGTACCTCCTCATAGATATGAACGATAACGGTTACATTGGCAGGCTCCTTGTCAATCTCTGTGACGAAATTACTTGTATTCAGTTCATAAATGCGAGGATAAGTAGGCCTACATATTAATGACAACATAATTCGAACTCACAAGCTATTGAATGTACCCTGCATTTCGGCAAGTCTTTTCTGTCTATATTGAGCCAAAAAGGCATCATCGTCATCATCAAGAAGATTTTCGAATAAATCCTTAAGCTTTTGTTCTTGCTCTTTTGCAAGTTGATCTGCACTCTACAAATTGTAATAAAGGCAACTCGGGCAGGCTTACATAAGGACGCCCTGTCAGCGCGCATTTCTTAGCCATCTGAATAGCCATCTCATTTTTCAGCTTATCTTGCTCTTCTTTCAGCTTTCTGTATTGTTTGTAATCCGCAATAACACCTTTTGGGCCGGTCTACTCAAGTAAAGAGGAGAATTCATCTTACTTGGGCAACTTGATTGCCTAAAGAAGCAGGGCTAGGAGGTGGTGGTGCAAAGCATTCAACTTCATCATTATCTGATGCTTCATCGGAGTCTTCCCCCTCTCCATCACTAGAACTGCAATAATTATTAACCTTTTCGCCAAGAATTCTATCGTCAAATGATAACGACATCGTCCAGATGCTTTGAGGCGACGCTGCTTAAACTATAAGGTTAAACAAATCAACATACCAAATACATAAATTTATGTACACACAAATATTAGTTTAGATAAAAAAATGTCCACAAAACTCTTCATAAAATTCTGTCACTAAATAATACTTGATTTCATGTGAGGTAGTAAATGATCCAAAACGACATTTAATGTATTCTATCGTATATGATGCAGTTAGATTTTCTACAAAATAGAACCTTCAAAGTTTCTATTTGTATCAGACTGAAGCCCATTATACCTAGAAATATAGCGGGGTTATAATTTAATTCTCTCTTTTCATCAAAATATTAATTCCACAAGAATTTCAAAGCTTAACCCACAATTAATAATGTATTATACTAGTATACAGATACCTGACAAATCTCTAAAACAATGTGTTAGGTATAGACTGTTTTAAATAAATTATAATTTGAATTTTAGTCTTTGAGATTTATTTAATTTATGAGTTATAAATTTGTATGTTTAATACTGGAAAACGAATCAGCTAACGATTAATCGTTGTCTTTCTTTATGAATCTGTCCGTATATAATTGATTCGACTGCGACTGCTGAGGTTCCATCTATTACTCAGTGTTCGATGGATAGTTTAGACTGGACTAGGGTTGACTGGATTTATTTCCTAACAGTAAAAGCTAATGTAATTTTTTGACAGGTTTCCATAATTAGGCAAATTCTAGGAAATGTTGCCTTCTTCCATATGTCCATTATGCCAGTAAAGGATCTTTTATAAATGCCAGTGCCTTCTCATAACTGTGCCTTTAAAAGACTATTTTAAGCGATCCTTTCAGTAGCGAGGCAAAGTTACACTTGAATTTAATTTGAAATAATGATTACACTGGAACACTCTAATTTTAAGACCAATTCTGATATCGAGGCTTTTTCATATTGGCTGGTTTTGAAATAATTCTCTTGACGAAAACTTATATGGGCCACTCAAGTTGTTTTATAAAGCCAATTACTGGTTCTGATTGATACAATAGTAAAGTTAAACACTCAAAATAGCAGTGTGGTCCTCGTAACATCCCTGGGTTATTTAGATATTGGAACTCTATGCTACTGCTGCGCATTGTACTTAAATATTCACCTTTCATGTAGACGAGATGGCTCTGCAGGTGACCACTGTGGTATGGTACCGGCATGTACCCGGGGGCATATAGGGGTGTCGACAGACGTCTATAATGATAGAAATCTTTTCTTATTCCATTTTGCTAGTGAATAATTTTAGCAAAGCAAATATACATATGCACATTTTGACATTCAAATTATTTTAAATACGCTAAGTGTTGATAACGCTTTGTAATAATTCACTCTGCGCTTATTTTGGTTCACGAAAGGTTCACCATATCCTTGAAGATTATTGTTCATATTTCAGTTTTTTAATCTTATTATCTAAATGGTTTCAAATTTCCTGAGTCTACTGGAATGGAGATTAATTTAGACGATTTTAGACCCCAACTAAAGAGAACATTTTATCAGTTTATTATTGGTAATACAAATTCAAACTTTCTTTTAACATTTCCATTTATTTTAACAATTTACCAGAAATTTCAAAATATTCCAACGCATAATGACATTTAGTCACTTCTGGAACCTAAAATCTTAAAGATTTTCCCAAGCGTTTAAGGTACTTTGTTTGAATTAACTTGGTTGTTTTAATGTTCATATTACAAATACAAGTTGGATATAAAGGTGGATTGTTTAACACATTGCAGTTTCCAACTTTCCTTGAAATAGGGATAGTTATGTAGCTCCAGTTCCAATTTGCCCCACGTTTTTATAACAGAATAGTTTTCAAGTTTCGAACAAATTGATAATGTTTGTGCTACTAGTAAGGTTTAAGTAACTCTTAAAATTTACATTAGCTTTTCATGCACAAATTCAGTATTTAAATTTTTTGACTATTCCCGTAAATTGCCTTATTTAGAGAAATAAAATGAAAGGCTAGTTCTTGAGCCCAAATGCAAATAAGAGTATAGATTCAAACTTAAAGATTTTTTGAATATCCACATCATTTGCCCAAAGTCAAACGTAAAGAACAAAGGGGCATTGATTGAAGGGAATTTGGGAATAAGAATTAATATTTCTAAGAAATTGTTCAAAAGTCCATTTGTTATAAAAGACCTCATTCACTAAGAATCCACATTTTCAAATGCATTACCGTTAGCTTAAACTTTGTGATTGAACTACTTATTAATCTACCTGTCCAAGTCGATCTCGCATTTTTTCTCTGCTTTGTTGATTGCTGGTAGTAATTAACATCACTTCGAATTTATTAATTTGCCTATTTGCAAAAATAAGCCATTTGTCATTCATAAAGAATCCTATTAGATTCCTCTTATATTTGTAGAAATTATTTGTATTTTACTAAAAGATGCCTGAGTTTGAAGTACTTCAGTTTACTTCCCATAATTCTTGTAAATGTAATAGTTGGATTCAATTTCAACCAAAATAATTGAAAGTTTAATTAGGTTCCCAATCAATGAGACAAAGTATACTTTAACGTCCTTGAATCCCTAAGGTCCTCTTTCAAAAGAAACTCCATTGGTACTGGACTCGTAACAAAAGCGATATTTGCGTTTGAATCATCTTCAATACGTCTGTACACCACCAAAATTTATCAAATCGGCGGCATCAGTCTGCTGTGTGACTTGCGTGAGTGCGGTTTGGTACATTTTGAAAAAAAAATACTTCGGGCAGTAAAGGCTTAAAGAAGTGCTAAAGATGCAGTTCCCAATTGGTATAAGGGCAAGAGAACTGTCTCGCATATTCTGATGAAACGGTTATCAAAAGAGTTAGCCAACGGAAGAGTGCAAATTCATTTTTCTTTTGTTTAGGCATTCTTGCTTGCCCAGTTGGCTGTAAATTCAGGCCACGAATATTGAGGAGTATCAAAAAAATGAGTGACAGAAAAACACAAGATAGGGAATTCCAGATACTTTTTTCTAAGAAAAAATGCTTATCTAATTCAAATAAAAAGAAGAAAATCAAAAACAGTTCATTCTTTATGCCATTTTCTATAATTGACTAGATAGTAAATTGATAAATATAGAAGAAAATGGCTTTATTAACAGCACAAATTTATTCCATTGGCTTATAATTCCGGGCTTAAAATTCATGGGATCAAAGAAAAATAACTTTATCGTTTTACGCTACTTCGCTCCACTTGATTTACTAAACACTTTGTGTAAGTGTAATCAAATTAATTTACTTTAAGATGATTCAAAATGTCAGGCATTTCTTCCTGAAGATCATTTTTAAAAAACTTTAAAAAGAATTTTTGTTTTCTTTCGACGGCCTTTCTCGAACTACTACAGATGTATATTTGCTTTCTTTTTTAAAAAAATAGTTAGAGTTAACTTTATGAGCTTTGTTTTTCAAAATAAGCCATTTTTTAAATATAAAAATTCATTGATCTTGTCGTTCTTTTGATACACTATGAAACCCCTATTCCATATCATTGATCATTTTAAGGCAGGATTCTTCACTTTTGTTGTGTAAGCAATGACCAAGTTTTAAAAGGCCTATGAATGAATTTATTATATACACTCGCAACTCAACTTACTAACTCCTTTCCCTTTTCTTCTTGTCTGCATCTTTAATTATCAGTTTTTAATAAGTACTCCATATAATGTCTCCACAAATTAAGTCATTCAATAAGCTTCCATGTTTTTTGGACTAAACTGAGAGTGTCACAATTCAAAGTATTTGATGCATGTAAGCTATTTTAATTATCATTTGAATGGGGTCACTTAATTCCCAAATAAAGGAAGATTTGGAATATTGAGAAAAGTCATTCCTTCTAAACAATAAGGAGGGTTTTGTATTAATGTTCACCTAATGGGCAAAGATTTCTTTGTGGATATTATTTTTCAAACAGTAACAAATGAAATTTTTATTAAAAATAATAAATATCTTCATAAGAAATAGTACAAAACTTGGAAGTATTTAATACAAGTCCAACCGGTTGCTGATGCCAAGCCTGTGTGTGATTCAGACAGTTTCCTGTGAAAGATTCCGTTTTCTTTCTTACCCCCTTCAACCCGAAAAAATACACTCCCATCATGAACATGACTAGATCTAGTGTGTTCTTTCAGGGCAATCAACATGTCAACTACGTCGAGCACCAATCCTCAGATTCATTTGGACGCGTGAATTAGTTTATGGAAGCCAAGATGAGTCAAGAATAATTTGTTGAAGGCATCTTTTTTTGTTTTTAATAAAAGAGTTGCCCTATAAACAACCATTCAGTTTACTATTTAAACAAAAAACCATATTTTACCAATTGTATTTAGTTACGGAACTATTTGTTAATTAATTGGGAATACTCGTCCATTGACATTATTTTTATTTGCAAGCTCTAAAATCAGGGTACTAACAGTCCTTATTGTAATTAGATTTCGAAATATTAATGAAAGTAGCGGATTTGAAAATAATTAATAATTTTAACCAATAGCTTAACAAAACAAGACACGATTTTGAAATAACTCTACGATATGTTAAGTTCCGGCTTAATTCCTTCAATTATGTCCTAGAAAATTTGTGTACAGAGGGGTACCAAGCGAAGTTGATGAAAAATTGAAACTGAAGGCTGATGCTTTATAACAGAAATATATTTCTGACAGTGTGGAAAGACCTTTTCAATCTCAGATTGGGGTAATTCAGCTTTCAAAGCCCTTCTAACCAAGACATTTAAGCCATCTCATCTTGGGTACTTTTAGACTGTAGGATGTCAAGTTGCGTGCAATACATTAAGTCATCCCAAACATATGGAAAAATATCTTCAAGTTGGGTGCATAGGGTACTAGAAATAAATTGAAAGACTCAGTTGACCCTAGAGAGAGAGAGAGCTCATCTGGTTTATTTCCCTAGTCAGAGTTCGTGTCAGTTGAGAAAACGAGAAGGCTATTCATGCTAGAATTGCAGTGTTTGTGAAAAAGAGTTTCCCATGCAAATCATAAT